TTCATTTAGCTGTGTCAACGCAGGTACTTCCTTCATTAATGCATATTCGTACTCCTTTAGCCATAAATTGGCAAGAATGACAGCAAGGGATGCACCCATTGCCAACCCATCCTTTTGTACGTACCATAAACCATTGCATTTGAAGTGCACCTTACTTACAGCCATGTTCAACAATTTCTTCATAGTTCCGCGTGCCAGTTTAGGAGGACTAGTTTGTTCGTACAGTTTCCTCAGTGCTATATCTATTGCCTCCTTTAGTGGGACATTAGTGTACAAACTTTTGACATCCAGGGAGATAATACTTTCATTATAGTCTAGATCTATGTTCTCTATGATCTCCCGAGCCATTTGTGTGTTTGTCTTACTGTTTGCCCCCTCAATGTTGTCAAAAAATTTGGCCAAAGTTTTATTTAGATGTTCATATGAGCTCCCTGGCAGTGACAGTACGGGACGGAGAGGGGTTCCTTTCTTATGTACTTTAGCCAATCCATATAATCGAGCTGGCTGCCCTCCCGTGGACCTAAGCCTACTATACAGTGCCTCATCAATCTCATCTTTCTTTTTCATGGCCAATTTTTCATACAGTGCCTCATACAGTGCCTCATCAATCTCATCTTTCTTTTTCATGGCCGGTTTTCATTTAGTTGTGTCAACGCAGGTACTTCCTTCATTAATGCATATTCGTACTCCTTTAGCCATAAATTGGCAAGAATGACAGCAAGGGACGCACCCATTGCCAACCCATCCTTTTGTACGTACCATAAACCGTTGCATTTGAAGTGCACCTTACTTACAGCCATGTTCAACAATTTCTTCATAGTTCCGCGTGCCAGTTTAGGAGGACTAGTTTGTTCGTACAGTTTCCTCAGTGCTATATCTATTGCCTCCTTTAGTGGGACATTAGTGTACAAACTTTTGACATCCAGGGAGATAATACTTTCATTATAGTCTAGATCTATGTTCTCTATGATCTCCCGAGCCATTTGTGTGTTTGTCTCAATGTTTGCCCCCTCAATGTTGGGGGCCGTAAGAACCGTAAGTAACGTTGGTTCGGATTTACTATCAACACAAACTTGCCGGGTCAATCCCCAATAATTCAATATTAAATTACAAAGAACAATGTTATATACGTTTATAAACTGTAGATAATATTTTACAAGAGTGTTATGATATTGCCTCCAGTATACAGCCGGCGTTTCCGCGCTGTATCGCAAGATCCAGTCTTTGTCGCAGGTACTTAAAAGCCAACACCTCGCCTGTCGTATCTCGGATTTTTCTCGCTAGGTTTTGTAAAAACGTTAGAGATGACCTGCCGATTCCACCTAAGCTTTCAATCGCCACGGGCTCAAAAATTACTGTCGTTGGTAGATCGGAATAATGGTTCTTCTTACGCATTTCTGCCTGGGATGCGGCATTTGAACCTGGCAACACTCCCAAACGCATATTTGAGCTGGCCAGCCGTGAAACGCAGGTGAAGTCCCAAGCAAGCGTGCATCCTCGCTGCCACGATGTCAAAGTGAGGCCATCTGGCCGTCTTCCGTCAGACCGAAGGAGTCCGATCGGCTCTAAGGTGGAACTGAAGCCTGCTGTTCTTAGGGATTCCTTAATAATTATGTTGCAGTTGTTGTGTCGCGTGAACCTGCAACATCCCCAATAATGTCCCATAAGTCGTTTTGACTTATCCCCTAGAACGGGCACTCATATTCCTTCTGCTTTGAGTGCCCGTTTAGTACCTTGAGTGAAGTATTGAAATTGTACGGCAGTTAATTGAAAAATTTTGAATTAAAATCAAGGTCAGTCGTCGGAATGTGTTTTGGCTAAAGCGTTCCGCCGAGACATAGAATCGCACTTCTCACTAGTGAAAACGATATTCATAAAAAACGAAAAGATGTAAAGTGTCAATGCATTTCGAGTAACAAAACTCATCATGAGGACAAAAGAGTAACAAAAGAACACTGCAGAAAAAGAGTAATCGAACAACACACACTGGTAGCATCAGAAAGAAAACTATGGATGTAATACCGTGGGGAACGGAGATACAGCAAAATAATGACACGAACGGTTTGTGCCCATGTTGCAGTAAAAAAATGTCTGAACCTTTTTTTGATAACAAAAAGTTTCAAATTTATTTGAATCAAGAAAGTAAAATGTTTAATTTGCCAGGATATATTCGGATTGCATTGTTTGAATGTTGTACCGTGAAGAGATCGAAGATTAATTTTGTCAAATTTGCAGCTAGAGTTTCAATCGAACTCTAGCTAGGTTCAAAATTTTGTAAAAAACATGCGTTTGCGGCAAATATGTAAGCGAAGATGATTGGCTTGGCCAATTTTGTCTGAAAATTGATGAGAGATTCTGTAGGCATTAAAATTTGAGTGCGCGTTTAAAGAAAAATTTGATGCACTCATATTCCTTCTGCTTCAGAGGTAAATATGTTGAATTATGCTAGTCAAAATAAACTAAAATGTATAAATAATCATACTGCAAGAAGTTATTGGTTATATGGGAAGCAATTGGAGAAGGTGGAGGAAGAAAAGGATCTGGGAGTTACAATTCAGAGTAAACTTTCATTTGAGTCGCACGTTTTCGCAAAGGTAAAAAGGCCAGCTCAGTAATTGCCATTTTCAATAAGACTTTTGTAAGAATGACAAGACCGTTCTTTCTGAATATAAACAAGGGTCTCATTCGACCTCATCTTGAGTATTGTAACCAAGTATGGCATCTGCGATTAAAGAAACATGCAACATAGATAGAAAATGTTCAACGATGGGCAACACGAATGGTTATTGGATTACAGGATTTAAGTTATAACGAGCGGTTCCGAAAACTAAATCTACCGTCCCTTGAGTACCGTAGAAGACTTGGATTAATGATTGAAATGTTCAAGATTGGGTACAACTGCTATGATCCCAAAGCGACATAAGAAATTTTTGACCTAAACAAATGAGACACCAAGACAAACGACAGCAAAGTTTTATTGAAGAAGGCCAGTCTAGAAATACGGAAACATTACTTTACAATTCGAGCAGAGAGAGACTGGAACGCACTGCCAAGTGAAGTCATAAACTCTAAAACAACGAATGATTTCAAAAATAAAGTGGACAATTTTTGGAGAAAAACTGGAATCTATAAAATCAAAACGATGAATTTAAAAAGAATACAGCACCAAAAATCGCCTATATGATCAGAATGAAATGAACTGAATTAAAAAGAGCACTGGTTGCTTCTTTGAGATCTTTTTTCACAACAATATTTGTCTTGTCTGCGTTGGGAAAGTAGCCATGTTTTAGACCATTGACTATAAGACTATACCACCAGTCGCGGAGCCGGCCGGGATAGTACCAGCTCCAGCACTATCGTCAGTATAAAAACAACGCTTGGCAACAGCAAGCATGTACACCAGCGGTAGTGTCTCAAGCCCTTAAATGAACATTGCAGCATTGCTCGAAATAAATAATGGCATTGCCAGTGAAATTCATAGAGGGTGTTCTGTAAGTGTTGCTTAAGACCGGGGAAATTTTCAATCATAGCACTTGGATGTTTCTCAATGCCACTCTCCGGTTCATGCGATTGAATGCATTTTCGGCATCAATGAAGAGGCTACCATCCATCGCATTGTGCTCGTAAAGTTGCTGCATAGGGTGGACAGTAGCTTCAATCCCGCCGGCTTGACCTGCACATGTTTGCAGCGGACCCATGACTTCAACTTTATCGCGCATCAATTTCATGATTACACAACTGATGATGCGCCTGAAAAAGACACCCTTGCCAACTGGTCTGATACCAGGAATCTTATCAAGAGCAATTTCCCAGGAAGTAAGAAAAGTCGCGATAGGACCAGTGTCGACGATTGTGAGTAATCGCCTTCCGAACCGGGCAAGTTCATCGCATAATTCACGCGATTTTGGGAAGTTATTGGAGCATAACATACGTCGTGCATTCAAAGCGTCGACACCAGAAGTGCCAGCACTGCGGCGAGCATAAAGAGCAGCAGTTTTGATGTCGTCAGCAGTAATGGCATTAGCTCTGGCGGGCACAGGATCATCGATGGGATCAAAGAAGACTACCTTCTGAATGGGTTCCGACTTGGGATGCTGACAACTTCATGTGTCATCGGCAATGGTTTGCTCTCCATGTCAAGGGAGCTGATGGCCGTGTTCTACTTACCCTTGATGGATAAGAGCAGAGAAGCGCTTGGAGTCCAGCGGCTTCTGTTTGCTGGTCTTCCCTCCATGCCTAAAAATCCTCTGAATTTCATCAAATTCTTTCCAAAGACCGTCAACATCACCTTTGTTCCATTTGACTAACCTTTGCCGTTGAGAGTTGACAGCCGAGGCGGAAAATCGTTGAACTGACAAATATAGAGATTTAATTAATTATGAATATAATTTTAAACCAAAAGCTTTTGAAGTTGCGGGTGGAGTTGCCCCTAGCACTGAGGTTTTTGTAAATAAGCTCTGTATGAACTTGAGCGCGTGTACCGAGGATCTAATGGCTGGGTTTTTCTAAATCAGAGATGTCCCTCTCAATACGGGTAAAGAGCGCTGCCTATGTACTCGGCACTATTAATGATGAAACTACTTTCGAAGATATATATTTTTTCATTTATAGAGCCAAGGGAACAAAAGACAGCTCAGTATAAGTTTCTGATAGACCCCTAGCCTCATATCAGGTCAATCTTTCAGAGTTTCTTTCAACTCCGGTATATTTTGTGCAGTATTAGTTTTCTCAATCTGGTTGACTTGATTCACAACCGTCTGATTTGTTTTATTTCAATCACGTTATACTTTTCTTCTGCATGTCTAGGAAATTTATAGGATTTTGACTGGAATGTGTGATAAAGGGACTCCTGACTGTAACCTCAGTTACTCTGATACTTTTGATTTCTGATTATATATTAAAGGACCTTCTGATTATATTGTTAAAGATGCAAAAAAATTGTTGCTTCATCAACAGATTGGAGCAATAAACGATGGAACCAATAACATCAATTTCATTTCAGAATAATGCAACTGAATCTTTCTTACGTGCTTCTGACCCTTTTGCTGCTTTGCTCCGTTGCGATGCTTCTGCTTTCTCTCGCTATTAGGTTGGAGGCTTAAATAACTTCAAAAATCTTGACGAATACGGCGGGGATCCTCAATATTAGCAAAAATTTTGCCTCAAAAACTTAAAATCAATTGTTTACTCCTTGTAAATCAATAGTTTTGTTTCAATTTGTGTTCCGTGCGTATGAACCAGGAGTATTGGATTTCAATTAATGGCAGTTATTGACCAGTTCTCAAGACTTTTCTCAAATTTTAGATGGAAAATTCTAAATGATGTAGCCAAACTAATAGCTCCAATCTTTTATTATTTAACAGTCTGGTCTGCTGGACGCCATATCTAAAAATTGCTTAAAAACCAGACACAATTGCGCCTCAAGTTGCCTTGCGAGGCATTTCCCGTAGAGCTCGAAAGTTGCGTACATTTGACTTCTGCTAAGACCATGTTGAAAATAAGATGGCCGATTGCTCTTTGCCACAATGACCAAAGAAAAAAAATCATAATTAAAAACAAGTTTTTATAGCCTTGCGATAAGCAAGGATATTATTATCGGGCAGTAGACTTTTTTCCGCAAATCACTTAGTTCACAGGATTTATTCATCTTCTAACATGCTCAATTTCTTGAAAGTTCAAATAAGTCTACTATCAGTTAATCCGTTTTTAAGCGCTATTTTAAAAATCACGTAGGGTTTTATAAACTTACTTTTTAAAGTATTGGTTTTGTTAACAGTTTTTACTATAAATGAATGTTCACAAATATGTAAATTTACTTTTACAAATTTGTTTAAAAAAATGTTTAAATTTTATGAAATTTTCATGAGAACATTTTTGCTTCGGCTCATCAGGTTTCGAGTCAAAGTGTGTCGTCTTTGTTGCCGCTCGGTGAAAGATTTCAATAAAAAAACAGGTTAAGAGAATTTTTATTTGCAGAGTTGGCAACTCCTTCATCTTTGAATAATACCAATATCTCAAAAATTTTCACTCCTTATTTTTGTAGAGAAACGACTACGGTTTTGGGCAAAGTCCAGGTTTGAAGTTACGCATTTCATCCCGCATTAGTATAACAAATTCAAAAAATACTAAAAACGTGCCTCCAGCTTAAGCTAGGCGATAGTTATCTTTTGTGGAGACATACGAAATTTTTGGTTCGCCAAGTTTTTTTTTAATATTCTTTTTCGACTTTCGTTTTTTCGATGTTTGTGTTGTATCGCAACTTGTGCGCAGCTCCGCGTCGCCTCGGTTTAAAAATGATATAATTTGGTTGATTTCATTTCTTTTCAGAATTTTTCTCAATTGTTTTTCTGGTATCTGTTTGGAGTTTCTATTTTCAAATTCTTGATAAATTGGGAATTTTTGAACGATGTTATACTTTTTGTCTCATCATTTTCATCTCGTAGTTCTGAGAAAAAAAGGTCTGGAGTTTAATGATAGCTAAAATGGTTTAGGTGATTAATTTCCATAGAAATTCTGGGCTCTTTTCCAGTCCCCCTTTGGTTTCTGAAAATCTGACTTTTGATGTTCTAAACTGCAATAAAACGTGTCGGTGTGAACTAGTATACATATATATTTTGTTTACTTTTCATGCATGCAAACTGCCTTAAGAACCACTTAAGTGGTCGAGGGTTGAAAAACTGGAAAAGAGGTATTACGAAAAATTTGAGCTATTTTTTCAAATTTATTTTTTTTTTAGTTTTTCCTCGTTACGAAAGAAACGAATGGATACTTCAAGTGTAAACAAGTTCAAGTGTAAACAAAAACCAAAATTTTGATTTGTCGGTGTATAAACTTTTCGAGTCAATTTCAACAAACTCAAAACTCGGAAAATTCGTTTGAAATTTCGCGTATAGATTTGTATCGGAAGTAATGCGAAGCTCGGCTACGTGTGCGTTCTTTGCAATTAATTATTGCACATCCTTGAAACATCTTAAAATTGTTTTTGTTCTTAACTCCGAGTGAAATTTTCATCAATGGTTGTTTTAGAGATTGGGCTCATTCAGAAGTGTGGAAAGTTCGCGATGACGCATCAAACGAAGCTCCCGTTCGTAGTGGGGATGTTGAGATGGGATTATTGAAAATGTGTAGCGATGCAGATTTTGGACTAGGAGTAAGAAGCGACTGCCTCAAATGTATGTCCTTCCTTAGTGAATTAACCTCAGTCTCAAACCCAATTTCACAATGCTGGCTTTAAAAAATTCGTTAATCAATCTGTTTGAACGAACCAAGACAGGTTTGCTACTTTTATTAAAATTTTCTAATAAAAAACAATAATAAGGAATTAGTATTTGCACAAGAGGTGCAGAATCGTCCATCCGTTAAAGCTTGAAATATCTCCTAAAAAGGGCTTCTTTTGCATTATAGCTCTCCTGCCTATAAACAAAAAAATTATAGTTCCGCCATCGTAGAAGTTGTGTTTTATGGGATATAGTTTGGTCGGGGTATAGTTCTTAGGTTCTGTTTAGAGCTCATTTGAAATTCAAGTAAATTCGAATAGGAGGCCTAGCTAAGAAAGAAATGGACCAAAACAGAACTGTTTAAGACAGCCGACGATTGAATAAAGTCTGATTAAATAACAAGAATACAATCTTAAACTGAAAATCAAACATTTGATCATTTCTCTCTGCCACTTTTTTTGGTTCAAAGATTGTTCAAATAAAGAAACCAGTTTTAGACAACTAAACAAGATCACTTTTTCGTCATTTCATAAAAACCAATTGGCCAGCGATTAGAAGTTGATGCACTTTATCTGTTCACTTGACTGGTTGTTTTCCGTTGGAAAATTATAATTACGTGTCGTGTATATTGTAACAACATTTTCCCCCGTAAACCTTTTTTTACAAGTGCTGGCTAAGATGTGGTGGCATGTTCAATTTCACACTATTTGAAGTTTATTAACCGCTTCAATGATTTGCAGGTTGTATCCTCTTTATTGATGCTTGTGTTATTTGACAGAAAGGTGATTTGGTACAGTTGTGAAGATAAATGACTCGAATAGCGTTTGTGAAGTTTTTATCAGCTTGCTTAACTGTCATCGTTTGAATTCAATCACGAACATCTGAATGCAGCGTGTAGGCGTCAGGAATTTCAATTCCTTTATGGAAAGTAAAACTATCTCGGGATAAGTTTTTTTTTGTTGGTTCTGTTTTTTATACTTGCGAATTTTGTCATTTAACATGAAAAAGCCCAAGTTCTCGATCTCAGTCATTGGCTTTGATCTCTTCAAGGACTTTGGGAAGTACCCTTGCGCTGTCTGTCGTAAAGGTGTTGGAAGCAACTCCATTGCTTACTCTCAGTGCAAATTATGAGTTCAAAAGAAATGCTGCGGAATATCAGGCCGGCTGGTAGCCAAGCCAGAATATGTTTGCCCCAGATGCACTAGATTGTCGCGGCCTATTGACGGTCGTTCTTCGAGCATGATTGATGTAGGCGGCACTACGCTCGATGTTGAGCCAACTTTCTGCTACTAGGGTGACATGCTCGGTGCGGGTGGGGGCTGTGATAGTGCAATTGCTGCCAGAGTTTGCTCCGCCTAGTGAAGATTCAGGAAACTACTCCCTAGGTCTCAGTCGCATCAGATGGGGTTGCAGATCTGATACTTCGCGGCACATCTCATTCAGAATACGCGGAAAAGTGGACTCTTCTTGTGTACGATCAAGGATGCTGCACGGAAATGAAACTTGGGGTCCCAACGTATCAGATCTGCAACGACTCAAACGAAATGACCGTGCAATGATCCGTTGGATCTGCGGTGTTAAGCCCGGTGTTCATGACCCAAGTGCACTTCTTGATAAACTACTTGTGTGACATTATCAAAGTCCTTCGGAGCAGACGCCTCAGATGTTTTGGTCATGTTGAGCGCGCTCCCTCCGCTTCTTGCATCAAAATGGCCAGTGAGATGAAGATCTCCTACATCAAAAGACGTGGAAGACCAAGAAAGAATTGGCTAGATTGTGTGAAAAATGATATCAAGGAACGTTGCCTTACCCACACTGACCCGCAAGACCGTATTTTAAGAGAGCCGCAGTTCGACAATGCCTGGTGCTGCCGACCCCATCTGATGGGTCACCATAATCAAAAATTGGATATGATGATGAACAACTTCTATAGAATCACTGAATCGTTTCATAGCTTCATTTAATATCAATGCATGAGTCTGATTCTGCAAGTATGAGCAGGGATATCTTTCATCCTGCGACTGAGACCTCATTGGTACCGGGTTCGCATCAAGTCAGGACTTCCTCTTATTTGCAGAACTGAAAAAAATGGCATGAAACATTAATTGTCGATCTAAATTTCTGCCTATTTGCTGTCAGTTTAGTTGCCAGGCACTGACCTTTCGTATGATATGAACATTTTAAGTAGATTTGAAAATCTTTTTGGCAGATTTGTAATGGTGCTGAAACTTCGGTAAAAATGTTTGATGCACAATTTTAGGAAAAAGAAGAAAAAGAAAGATGTCTTAAAATTATCAGCAAAATACAACCGGTAAAGCAGATAATTTACACTACAGCGAGTATTTTCTTTAATCTATTTCGGGAAAGCACCAGAGATACTTATTTTTATTGACATAGTTACCTGTAGGCAACAGTTTCCTTAGTTAGTTTTACAAAATAAGTTTTGTTTTGGTAGAATACTCCACAGAATATGATTTGAATCCTGCGTAATGGCAGCAAAAAGTTTTATTTCAATGATACCAAGAGATGTTTCGTTTTACGATGATGTGAGTCAATACGATCGAGTAAAAATTTGGGGGCTCCACCCCATACTTGATATATCCCGTAATATAAGGCCGGAATCACAAGTGAGTATCAGCTTCAGTTCTGCTGTACCCAAGATGTTTCAGTGTAGAGAGAAGATAAAGCTGACTAGATGACCTTTTCACCGACTTCTAGTGATGTTTTTAATTTTTCTGTTTATTTTTCATTCAAAAAGGTTGGAGCCTTTTCTTAAATGATTTAAAATGATGACTACTGTACCAAGTTAATTCAAAATCAGGTTTTCCTCGTTAAAATGCTTATTTTCAGTGTCATTTTTACCTGTTTTTTTACCATTTTTTTCATTGTTCACAAAATACCTGTTTTCATCATCTGCAGTTATTTTTTCCAATTTCTTCAAATAAGAGAGCTAGAAATATTATACATTCGATGTGAAACAATATCAGCGAAAAAATTAGATGGCGAGTTTGACTGGAGATGGCGAAAACCGACGTTTCAAACCCACAAAAAATCGTAATTAATTAGAATCATTTTGAATAGTGGTTTATACAGTGTTATCTTTAACCATTTGTTTTCGGCCGCTGTTAAAATTTTGCTCCGATTTTTGGTAATTGGTGTATTAAAATGACAGTGAAAAAAAAACGAATGTTTTTCGATGAGAATTTATAGTTCTTCTTTTGTGCCTCAAGATTGGAACTGAAGGCGTCTTTACACATACAAGTTAGCGAGCGTAGTGTTATGTTTCGGATCCAGTTTTCTTGCGAACCTCACTTGCGATTAAAAGTACTCATGTGGTGGCACGTTTGCTGCGTAGCATTTGCGATTTAACTGCATCTGTTCTCTGCGTAGCATTTGCGATTTAACTGCATATGTACTAGTGTTTATCTATTGTCACGCGACCTCGCGCATATGCGAGGGCGAGAGACTCCCCAACTACATGTCGACAGCTCGGTTGAAGAGCCGAAATGTGATGTTTTCGTGGAAACTTTTACGGACGGTTTCATCACACTGCTTTATTTCATTGATTTCGGATATCCGGATGTTGAAGACTTATCTTAAAGCTTATATTTCTGCATGCAGATGTACTTACATTTAAACATAAGTTCCACAAATTTACGTCATGACATGTTACGACCATCATGATTAGTGATTAGCTATTTCTAATTATGATTCCGTAACCAAACTGTGCCATTACTACGCTTGCGATTAGCAAGCGTTATCAAATCGGAAAGTAGACTTTTTCGGGTTAACAACTACTTTGACAAAATCAGTTGAATCACTTGTGATGCAGTCATGCTCAATTTCATTTTTCGGCCATGTTTCCGCATCTTTAGTTTTGTTCAGTTGCTTATTTGAACTAAAATGCCTTGCGTGGCATTTTTGCCTGAAATTTTTGTTTGGTAAAAACAGGTATTATGCCAATGTAAGCGATTGTGTGTGTTTTTTCATTTTTTTGAGACTCTTTGGACTATTTTATCCTGTTTTGCAAATCCTGTTCTCAAAAAAACCTTCTGATTTTCATGAAAAGGATTTCCATGGAAATACTTCACAAACCCTTGTGTGCCTGGATACTCCCTTTATCTTTTTTTGCTTCACTCTTTTCTCTACCGCCTTCGGAAAAGTCTGGGGTGAATATTTGACCAATATTTTGATGTTTTTTGGTTTTCTCAAAAACTAACCTACCCAGTCTGAGATTTTGTTTTCAATGAATAGAACGCATTTGAAAAGCTCCCCTCCTTGAGTGGCTACCCCCAAAAATTTTTAATACATAAAATTATCGCCCTCGGAATAGTGAAATTTTTGAATGTTTTGACTGTGTTTTGTAGCTTTTTGACTTTTCTCGAGAACTACACTGCCAAACCTGGGTTTTTGGGTTCAATCGAAAATACAGGTTAGGCGCATCTCTTCTGTATGCCTCATTTTTTTTAAACAAAAAGTTAAGAGTCTCGGTAATGTCAGTTTTCTGATTTGTTGACCGTTTTTTGGTCTTTTCTCGATAACATCCTGCTATACATGATACCATAGGTTCAATTGATACAACAGGTTGTTGGAAGCTTGCCTTTAAAATTTGTTACGCCCAATTGTTTTGAAAAAAAAAATAATGGTCGTCAAACAACTGAAAGTTTGAAACTTGACGATTTTTTGGAAGTTTTTTGACTTTATTCGAGAATTACCGTGCCAGTTCTCTCTTTAAGTCTTCTATCGAGAAACCAAATTTTGGGAAAGTACTCTGTTTCTAGCAGATAAAGTTGAAGATTTTGGAAAGAGTTTGCAAAGTTTTGAACTTTGACCGTTTTTCAGAAACTTTTTGAATTTTCTTAAAAACTGCCCTATCAAATCTGAGATCAAAAATTCAATCAAAAGAAGTCACTTGTCCACTTCTTCACTTAAACTAAGGTTTTGGACAAATTCCAATTTTTGAAATTACATATTTTGCCCCTCATCAATATACTTACTTACTTTTACTTTCTTTTAACGTCTTGTTGTCCCTTCTTCTGAAGAGGTTAGACGGTTTATGACAGCTCTCCATTCAGCTCGGTGTTCAGCTGCAGTCTCGTGTACACGGCTGCCATATCTTGCTTAAGGCACTCTTTCCAGGTTTTCTTGGGTCTTCCTCTTGGTCTGCGACCTAGTGCCTCTGTGTGCATTATTTTCCTTAGCGGGTTATCTCGATCTGGGATGTGGCCAAACCAGATCAATCTTCGCTTCCTTATCACCAGCAAAATGTCCTCTAGACCACATCTTCTGAGGGTTTTTGAGCTTGGCATTTGGTCTGACAGCGACACATTGCAGACCATTCTGAGCATCCGGCGGTCACAGCTCTGTAATAACTGTTCTTCTCTGTGTGAGTGCCCACGTTGCAGCTCCGTACAAGATGGTATTGATGCCCTTGCCCGATGCTTCAGAGGGACGGTGGCATTGCATAGCAAGCTGCTCAGTTCCCTCCACTTAAACCAAGCAACGGGGATCCTGTGTCTGACAGCTCTTTCAGCTCCTCCTTCAGAGTGCAGCATGGCCCCTCTATTGTACCTGAGTCCAGTACCATGGACTCATCTGTCCACGTCCTTGGTTGCTGAGTACCACTGCACACAGAATACGTGTACCCAGTGATACCAGCTAATGAGTTGAGGCCAGTGCATCTCTTGTGACACCATTTGTTGCAGCTTGCGCAGAAAATTGCGTTTACTCCTACCCCACGGTTACACACTGCACAGGGATATTGACCAGATGATGTTGCCTCCTTACTTCTCTTCCCCGATATGAACAGTTTGGTTTTGCCAAGTTGCACCTTCATCCCACGGAGCTCCACTGCACTACTCCAGTCCTTGAACATTTTTGTAACACCTTCGTTAGAGTCCGCTGACAACACAAGGTCATCAGCATATAACAGCTCCCAAGGATCACCTATCCGTACCTCTTTGGTGGGTTCTTCCATCACAATCTTGAAGAGCAGAGGACTTAATGCTGAGGGTGAACCGAATAGTACAGCAACCCAGCCACTGGGTTGCTTTGCTGTTTGGTTTGCCCTCAGTGCCGGTCCCAAGCTGGGATAAATGGAGAGGGTTTAACGTCAGGAAGGGCATCCGGTGTGTAAAACCCCCCGCTTCACTAACTATGACAGCACAAAATCAGCCGCATCAATATATCAAATACAATAAAAAGTATCAAACACGTATATCCAGCTGTAGCTGGGCCCTAGATGTCCTTCATCGATCGACATACGAAAATTTTCGGTCACGTAGTTTTAAGCATTTTTTTTTACTTATGTTTTTATGGTAGTGTTGTATCGCAAGTAGTGCGAAGCTCCGCTTTGCCTCTGTGTTCTAATATTCTTTTTCTTCTTCTTGAAAATCATCTCTTCAAAGAGCTACACGAGACGTTTATCAAGTTAAAGTGAGCTGTTACTCTGAATTGTATGTTTAGTGAGAGATGCCTTACGACAGGAGGAGGACTTTGTGCTGGCCACTCTATCTCTCTCCTTCCTCTCTCTCGCACTTCTCCTTCTAGCTGTCCAGATGGCACTCAGTCTCTACAACATGCTTGCAGTCCCCACCGAGAACTGGCTCAGAGACTATGGCATAGTGGTCGTGTCCATTATGGAAGGTTGCATAACAGTCTTAAATAAAAAATTATGGTTTACTGGATCCTTCCTGGAATCTATAATTTACCAGGAAAGCTCTTCAATGGTTAATAAAAACTATTTTTGTTTGAACAGTTGAGATGTAGTTTTTTTTGTACTGTTAATATTATACTGAACGATGAGGCAGCGTTCCATTTTCCGTTTAATTGGTTTTAGCTGTGTCGATATCTCTCGTTGTCATTCTGTTCGCAACCTGTTTCATCCGAATGAGACAGGACGGGACAATGCTGCCATCTGAGCTACAGGCGAGCAACAGTGAGCAGTTCAACTCACAAAACGAGAGACTTGGTTACGCCTTCTACCTCATGTTTGTCGAACTGGTCCTGATCTGTGTGAGAACAGTGATGGTCATGATGTTCGGATCTTCTGTGAGATCAACTAGGAAAGCTAATGCTGGTGTTGTTTATACGATCAAAGCAGCCACCCCATTGTCCGATAAGAATTTGATGTACTAAACGTCAAACAAAATCAAAACTGGTTGGTGTAATCAGTTAAACTTAGTTCATCTGTGGCTAAATCATTTAAACACCTCACACCTCCTCCAAGCAGATCAGGAACAGATATTTATTTCCATCTTCTATTTAATTTCGATTGAAAATTGTGATTTAATTGCATCTCAAAAAAAAGTTGAGTCCCACCCGCCCCTCCCAAATTGAATTGGAGGAGGATGTTCACTCAATTTAGTTTGGTTGACCGTTGATGTTCGAAGGACCAAATAACTGGCTGGTCGGAACCGTGGCAAAAGTATCATGCTTTGTAGAGATAATAATGAACTTGATAGCCAAGCATTGCGTTATATTATACAAAGCTTCTGGAAATGCCTAATCGTGGCAAGTTATAATACAATCATTTTTGGTTGATGTTGTACCTTGGAGCCTTGGTTGATTTTCGCTCAAGTTAAAATCGATTTGCATGTCTGTTATAGCTAACGAACTTGCATAGCGTATGAAAATTGTTGTGGCTTTAAAGAGTTGTGCTAAATTGGGAACAGTTTATAAATTTGAAAGAAGTGAAATTAAGAATCAACCTTCATCAGTAGAATACTTTATCTGTAAAAATCGTCATCTCTAGAAACTTCCTTGCATATTTAACCAGTGCAATTGAACCAATTCTGTGCAATAAGAAAATAAATAGTCTCTATCGAGATAAAGCTGTAAATATGTCATTATGTATAATAATTAGTTAAATTTAGAATTTTATTTTTATCTTTTTTGTAAATTACACATTTATACGAACAATGTTTAAAAAGACTAGCTGATGTGATGTTTTAAAAAGCAGATAATTATGCGATTAACTGTTAATGATCATTTTTGTATAATTTAAAATGTGCACCGTTTTTTTTCTGTCAAGTTGGGTAATATTTGAGATGCGCGTTTATTTTTAACAGCATCCGTGTCGTCGCAGAAAATTCAGTCGAAGTTGATTTTATTTCATTCTGAGTTCAGACGCGCAGTAAATCAATATAATCAGACGCGCAAATATAATTACAATTTTTTCATATATTTGAAAAGCAAAGGCTACTTGAAAATTTTCAAGAGTCGGTTAATTTCCTGTGGCCGTGGTGAGTTCATGTGCCTGCCACAAATTCGGGCTCGAAAAGAATGACAAAGAAATTGAACATAATATGATACTTCTGGTTAATTAATCCTGTATTACTTGCACAGTAACACAAGTAACTTTCTGTGTTCCTTGCACAGCACCCGGTTGTCTTTGTTTACTTTAGATCATTATTTTATCAGAAAAAGTGCCCAAAAAGTTACATACGGACCGATATTGAATAATAGTAGCCGGTTGATGATTTTTGAGAATTGTAATCGTTATTCTTACTTGTGCAAAATAAATAAAAGGAGATGATCGTCTCATTTCTAGAAAATAATAACTAGTACTGGCTACGGCGCAATGCTTGTTCGTTTCACATTTTCTTAATTGCGAAAAATGAGCTCAAGATAGGGCCGAATGGAGGTCAAAGTTGTAAATCACTCAACCGCATGTATTAGAGCTGAGTATTACCCCTGCGATTAGTATTAGTCGTGTAATCACTTTGTAACAAAAAACTTTTTTTAGATTGAAGGTGAAAAGTGGCAGACTATCGTTTTTGTCGGACTATAATTTTGGTTGACTTAACTTTGTGGGAAGTTTCACTTTAACTTCAATTATAGTAAATTGAACACTATAAAAAAAGTAATTGATTTTCTTTTTTCATTATTATCTATCTATTTTTGATTCGTTCCCTTGTGATAAGCTTGTCAAGCTAATTTTTACGCTTGCGATTAGCAAGCGGTATCAAACTGGAAAATTGTTTTTTTTTTCGGGTTAACAACTTGTTTATCAGAATCACGTGTATTTTGGTTCATAGTGAGTTCACTTCTAGACATAGCCTGAAGGTAACAATTATACCTGAAACGGCAAAAGTCCTGGGCTCAAATCTGAGCAGGACTTGTTCAAGAGTAATGAACGTATTGATGACTCTTATATGGCTCTTGCTGTTTTTTTTTCTTAACATATTCTCTTAAAATATTGATGCACTATAATGCACTTTTTGAGTTCAATTGAAGTTCATCTGCTGAAAGCGACGTAAATAGCACTCCACAAATACGAACGTGGAAATGACGCGAAAAAACGTGAACTGTTTCTAGTTTCAATGGTTGAATTTATTTTTCTTGCTTACTTCCTTCATTATGTTCAGGTTGTTTAAGATTTCTCAGCGGAAGAAAAACTACCTATTGAGCCAGTTTTCTCAAGTTGGGTTCATGTTATCAAAAAACGCCAAGCAGAATTTTTTCAAAAAATTCAAAGCTTAAAGGGCATCTATTTTTTTCTTTGAAATTCGGAAGTTGAGATTTTTTCAAGAAAGTGTTTTTTTTATGTTTTCTTGCGTTCATAACTCTTTTCCAAACTTTGATTGGCTGTTCTTTTTTTTCAGACGCAATATTCAGTTTCACATAAAATTGTCGGCCAATTTTTTGTCTGCTTATCTGTTGTCGGCTTAGTTGTCACACCTTGAAATCGTTTTTTTTTTTTGCTGCGCTCATTTTTTGTAATGACGCTTTTAGTGTTTGGTTTGCTCCTACAATTTGTAATTTTACTTACCTTGACTTCGTATTTTCTTTGCTTTAATTTTACTGATCTTGACTTCGTTTTTTCTTTGCTTTTTTGTGTCGCTTGAAAAAAACCTCGGCCCAAATTTTTTCGGCTTTTTTTAATCGGCTGTATGACCTAATTTTAGGTCTTATCAAGGGACTCACAACTTGATCACTCACCTCCGCTCTGTCCATATTGGTTGTATGTTAAATCTGTTTGGTGATTGTTTTTCATTGTGGAAACTTCTCAAAAACGGATGATTTTCAAAAAAGATTATCAATTGCAAGATCACTAACTCCCGACAGTCTCTGTTTACTTGACCTATATTTTTGATTTTTTTTTCGATTTCTTGAAAAATACCCCTATCAAATTTAAGCTTGGCATTTCAATAAATAGAACAGTTTCAAAAAGATCTCTGCATGAGCGGCTACGCCCAAAATTTTTTTACACAAGGTTATGGCCCTCGGAATGGTCAATTTTTTGATTTTCAACCGTTTTTTAAACTCTTTGAATATTCTTGAAATTTATCCTGCCACGCTTAAGACTTTTATTTCAGTTCAAAAAAGTGATTGTGGTAAGTTCTTTTGCCCATGCGACATCTTCCAAATTTTTCTGCCACCATAAGTTATGGCCCTGGGAAAAGTTTTTGGCTTTACGCGAAGTCTACCGTGCCAATTCTCAGGTTGTGTTCAACCGAGAAAACAGGTTGTGGGAATCTTTTCTGCTTAAGCGGCCCACAATCTGCTCATTGCAGGATAATTTCATGGTTTTTGGAAATCCTTTCGACCGTTTCTCAGAACTTTCGACAGTTTTTTTTGAGAAAATTTGCGAATTTTCTTGAATTTTTGGCTACTAAATTTGAGATGAAAAGTCCAACTGAAAGAACCGGTTGCTATAATGGTTCCTACAGAAGCGGCGGCTCTTTAATTTTCTTTAAGAGAAATGTAATCGCCTTGGGAAAGTGTTTAGTCTTCTAACTTAAAGAAAAAACTAAGGCTTAGGACTAATCCAGTTTTTGAAATAACATTTTTGTGCCGCATGAGTATAGCAAATTCGTCAATTTTAAAAGCATAAGGTATGAGATTGGTTTTATAAATTTTTTGTCGCTCTTTGGTAAACTTTTCATTTTCGCCAATTTTCAAAAAAGATGTATCAATGAAAATACCGCCTATGTAGCTGCATACTTTTTAATGCCTTTCAGCTTTACCTCTCTGCCTACAGCCTTCGAAAAGGTTAGGGGGTCTTTTGATCCAAATTTTAATTTTTTTTCGTTTCTCAAAAATTAATCTCCCTAATTTGAAATTTTGATTTTACTGAAAAGAACGGATTTGAAAAAGTCACCTGCATCAACGGTGAGGCCCAAAATTTTTACACATAAAATTATGACCCTCGGAATAGTCAAAAATTTTAATTTTTTTCTGTTTTTTGTAAAATTTTCTGCCTTTTCCCGAAAAAACAACCTCTGAAATCTGAGACTGTGGTTTCAATGGAAATCATGGATTGTGGAAGGCTCCCGTGCATCAGCTTACACTCACATGTTTCTTTACAACAGAAGTTATTACCTTCATTGACTTATTGACTGTTTTTTTTTCACTTTTTAAGTTTTCTCAAAAACGACTCTCCCTTATTTAAGATTTTGGATTCAATCCAAAAAATGGGCTGTTAGAAGCTTTTTTGCATAGTCGACTACGTGTTTGTTTTAACTCAAAAACTTATGCCAATAACTTATTTAATTTTTTTGACGGTCTCTTGGACTTTTCTCGATAAGCTAATATCATAGCTTTAAACGCTACAAAAGCTCGTTGAAAGCCTAAGCAAAAAATGGCCTGTAAACAAACCAAAATTTGAAACTTTGGCCATTTTTTGGAAATTGTTTGGTTTTACCTCCAAATTACTGTGACAATTCTCAGGTTAAATATTCAATCCAGGAAATTGTTTTAGGAATTTTATCTACTTAACTGGCCTCGACCTGCTAATTGCAGAAAAACGGTGAGTATTTCTAAGTTTTGACCATTTTAAAGAAAACTTTTAGAATGTTTTAAAAAATAACCTGTTATATCTGAGATGAAAGGTTGAATCGAAAAAAAAAAACGGTTGCGGGAATTGTTGCTGCAGAAGACACGAAGGTTAAATTTTTTTAAGATAGATATTATGTCCTTAAAAAAATCCAAAATTTTATTAATTTTCACTTTTTTGACTAATTTCACTAAAAAAAAGAAAAAATAACTAAGGTTATGGGAAAAATCCGTTTTTTGATATTAAGCATTTCGTCCCGCATCAGTATGGCAAAAAAAAATCTTCATTTTTTTGACTTTTGATTTTTGATGTTACTGTTGTATCTTCATGTTTGTGCTCCGCTTCACCTCTGTGTATAAAAAATAATGTTATAAATACTTGAGAAAATCAATTTTGTTGCAATAGAGAAATTTTCTGTCCGCCAAAAATGACAGTTGTTGGTAGATTCTTTTATGGTATAAATATTCGAGAAAATCAATTTTGTTGTAAAAGAGAAATTTTCTGTTGCCAAAAATGACAGTTGTTGGTAGATTCTTTATTGGCATAAAAAATTATAGTTTGTTATCTGCTAAAAAAAGGTTTTGGTTTGACATCTAAATGGCCTATTTTACATCATCGAAAATTGGTTAAAAAAATTTTTGTTTAACAATTAAACAACAAACGGTTAATTGAATCATGTTGTTTGATGTGAAGGCCAACTATTTTCAAAACAAGCTTTTTTTTGCGGCC